AGATAGATAGATAGATAGATAGGTAATTTGAATTTGGTCTAATTATAATATTACATATGCCATTCTAGCAAACGCAAAAATTTTTAGCTTTTCTGACATAGTGTAAAACTCTCCTATAAAGCCTTCACTTTTGTCAAATAAATAATTATAATATTATCATGAGCCTGATTACTTGAATCTAATTCTATCTCCCAGGAAACACAGCGTCGTGGTGACGAGCATAAGCAACGCCGTTGAGGTCAGTGACAGGAAAAGGTCAAGTCTGGAGGTCACAGGTCAAAAGTTGGGGGATTCCCGAAAAGGAAGCGTTGTGTCTAGTGGTAAGCCCGTGTGTTCACCAAACCAGAAACTCCCTATAAAAAATATAAGTCGTCCGTCTCTCGGGCAGTCGGTTGTTGAATAGAACTCCAGTTGTTACCTTTAGTTTTTAGTTTTAGTAAAGGTTTTACGGCGCTCACAACTGCATAAGGTCATATGAGCGCCAAGGGGTGAGTGTCAACAGAGAAGTCTTTACAGGGAATCGGGGTTAATCTGCTCACTTCTCTAGCTTCGACGGCTCAAAGTCTGCTTCGTAACTTTAGTAAACAGTGGGAATTCCTTCTGTATGTGTCCATCAAAACGACACGACTCTTCGCTACAAAAGACATGGCGGTTTGGAATGGCGCGTATGGCATTTTTGTTGTGTCTTGTGGTGATTCATTAGCTGGTGCGAACATAACAAACTTTTTAAAAATCATAATTTTAAGTTTTGATGAAAAATCTAATGTCATATTTGTGATCTGCATTTCAAAATTTAAAAAATCAAAACGTAAACGACCGGTTTAAAAGCATATTTATTTACAATTTTTCCTTTTTTCTAATCCTTTATGGTTTGCTGTTCCCGTTGGGTAGTGTGGTGACTTGTCAGCTATACCACAGGCAGAGCTATGTTAATAATGTTGTGTTATGCAATGACTCATCAGTTGGTGGTAACATGAAACAACTGAAATAAATATATAATTGTAAGTTTTGATGAAAAATCGAATGCAATATTCGTGATCAGCGCTTCAAAGTTAGCAAAAATCAAAGGCGTACATCTCTGGTTTAAATATGTATTATTTAGATCTAAAATCTTACTATTTAAACCCCCCAAAAAATTATGGTTTGCTATTCCTGCCTCGTGTTCCTTAAAAACTTTTACCTCTTCACACCTGCTGGAAACGAACAGACCAACTTGTCTGAAACTGACAGAAAAATCAGGTCATTTCTGCTTTAGTGCGTTTACGATAACAATTGATACATCGTTGGGTTTAGCGTCTATTTTTCTCAAATAAAACTAGTATTGTTCTAATGACCTGCGTGTTCTCTATACCTTGTTCTAATTACATGTGTGTTCTCTATACCTTGTTCTAATTACATGTGTGTTCTCTATACCTTGTTCTAATGACCTGTGTGTTCTCTATACCTTGTTCTAATGACCTGTGTGATCTCTATACCGTGTTCTAATGACCTGTGTGTTCTCTATATCTTGTTCTAATGACCTGTGTGTTCTCTATACCTTATTCTAATGACCTGTGTGTTCTCTATACCTTGTTCTAATGACCTGTGTGTTCTCTATACCTTGTTCTTATGACCTGTGTGATCTCTATACCTTGTTCTAATGACCTGTGTGTTCTCTATACCTTATTCTAATGACCTGTGTGTCCTCTATATCTTGTTCTAATGACCTGTGTGTTTTCTATACCTTATTCTAATGACCTGTGTGTCCTCTATACCTTGCTCTAATGACCTGTGTGTTCTCTTGTACCATCGCCAGGCTCCCGACGCGTGAGTTTGTTCCCACCGATTGTTGGTCCGACAGAGCGTAGAGCCAGTATTGCCAGTGTGCTTAATGAAGACGGCATTGTGTTTGACCAGCCGAAAAAACCGGAGCCTTTGGTGAAGGAAAAGGGGCTCAAGAAACTTCTGGTTATCTTTAAGGGTGAGTGGAGAGTCCCAGTGATATACAGTGGCGTCCAAAAGAAACTTCTGGTTATATTGAAGGGTGAGTTGGGAGTCCCAGTGATATACAGTGGCGTCCAAAAGAAACTTCTGGTTATCTTGAAGGGTGAGTTGGGAGTCCCAGTGATATACAGTGGCGTCCAAAAGAAACTTCTGGTTATCTTTAAGGGTGAGTGGAGAATCACAGAAACATAAAACTGAAAACATAAACTTATTTACTTTAACATCAGTACCATCAATGAATACAACAACAACAACGAATACAAAAGCAGCAACAACAACAACAACAACAACAACAACAGCAACAATCATGAATCGTAGATCGAGCCTCTGCCTCAGATTAGGTAGAAACAACGAGGTTTACTGCAGAGCATCAATAAAAACCTGACGCCATGATTATTTGCCAACCGGAAGTTGCATAAATAATGCAATACCTCAACCCACAATTCAGTGGATCCCTGGTCACTGCGATATCCTCGGCAACGATCTCGCTGACAGTAATGCCAAACTGGCAACAGCACTGCCGGGTCCAGGCCACCAAATTACTTATGAAAGTGCGTGGGCCCAGATAAAACTCATTACAAAAGACCCCCTATTACATGCCACACGCGGACGAAGGAAATATACAGGGCATTTCCCTTAAAACGAGAGGCTCTTATTATGCCTCGCAGTGACCAGTCATTACTGGCAAAAATCAGGACCTGTCACTTCTCTGGGCTGCGGGGCTGCGGGCCTACGGGCCTACAAAAATAGAATAGACAAAACATCGGACCCAACCTGTCCATTCTGCAGCGAGGAACCCCAAGATTTGGAGCACTGGCTGCAGAGATGCGCCGCCACTGAGGCCCGGTGCTGGCATCTCTTCAGGGAGGATTCAGGGAGGTTGGACTGCCTCACCCGCTACCCAAGGGAGGCAGTGGCCCTGGTGAAGAGCACGCTCTTCGGGGCTCCAATCATTTCGAACGGATAGGCTACCACACACACAACAACAACAACAGCAGCAGCAGCAGCTAAAAAAATAACAATCTCAATGGCGATGATGATGAGGATAAAGGCAGCAGTAGCACAAACAACTCTTACTTCATCCCCCTCCCCCTCTCCTATCCCCTCCCTCTCTACTATTAACCTCTCTCCTATCCCCTCCCTCTCTCCTATTAACCCCTCCCTCATCCCTTCCCCCTCTACCATACCTGCCCATTCCACACTCTCCCTCCACCTCTACCTCCCCCCCCCCCCCCGGTTAACCATCTTGTTTACAGGTATTCATAATTAATATGACCTTTGAGCATGCTTTAGAATACCACTGAGTTACAAACAGAATCCTGGGTATGTATCTAGCTTATCACTTTTATGTTTTACATTACTTTTCATTTACGGGTATATTATGCATGTGATTGTAAGCCTGTTTGTGAGTGTAAGCATACTGCGTGTGTGTGAATGTGTGTGTATGTAAATATATATATATATACATATGTATATATATATATATATGTGTGTGTGTATGTGTATGTGTGTATATATGTGTGTGTGCGTGTGTGTGTATATGTGTGTGTGTGTGTGTGTACGTGTGGGTGCATGTGTGTACATGGCGAAATAACAAACCAATGTGCCAGGATCTGAGCAATATAGATGTACCTTATCTTATCTTATCTTTCCCTTATCCTCTTCAACCTCCCCTCCCCCTTCCCCTCCCTCACCTTCCCCCCATCCACCCCATTCTCCCCTCCAACCTCCCCTCCCCTCTTTCCTCTCCTCAGACTTCCCCGCCGCCCTGCTACGAGTGCTCAAAGTCCCAGCCTTCGTC